AGGACGGCCCCAAGAGGGGGCCCAGAGGGGTGGCCGAACGGATATTTCAAGCTTTCGGCCCCAACAGGCCCCCCGGAGGCCCCAGGACCCCGCCAAAACACAACCCAAGAGGGCCCGAGGAGGCCCCCAGGAAGCCCCAGGAGGCCTCCAAAGGGCCCCCAAGCGACCCTTCCCCAGACGCCCTGAGGCACTCATGGCGATCCCGAAGACTCCAGAGAGGAGAGGCGATGAACGGACGTCCTGACACGATCTTGGGCCGTCTTCGAGTTCAAAGTGCCCCCATCATGGTCCAGCAGGCCCCAGAGACGCCCGAAGAGAGCCTCCCTGGGGTTCCCAAGAGACCCTCCAGAAGCAAATACCAGGAGACGGGCCCAACCAAGACGGCCCTCTGAGCGCCCCAGAGGCATCCAAGGCTCCCCCAAGAGGCACCCAAGAGGCGCTCAAAGGCCCCATCGAGGCCCTCAGAAGGCCCCGCGATCCCGCCAGAAGCCAATATATACCTATACGACCACCCTGCGGGTGATAAGAAGGTTCGGGGGGGGGGGACCAACGTCTCACCCGATCGGTCTCTCTATCGATCTCACTATCGACCTCACTATCGGTCTCGCTCGATCGATCTCACTCGATCGATCTCACAATCGATCTCACTCGATCTATTTCATTCGATCGATCTCACAATCGATCTGACTATCGATCTCACAATCGATCTCACTATCGATCTCACTGTGGATATCACAATCGATCTCACATTCGGTCTAATTTCTGATCTCACTATCGACATCACAATCGATATCACAATCAACGTCATCATCATCATCAACATCATCGTCATCAACGTCATCAACATCATCATCATCATTATCATCATCATCAGCATCATCGGGACACCATCATCACCATCATCACCTCATCACCATCATCATCACCATCATCACCACCGGGACACCAGAATCGTCACCATCATCATCAACATCATCACCATCAGGACACCATCATCATCATCATCGGAGCACCACCATCATCGTCATAATCACCATCTCATCATCATGATCATGAACCACAATCTCAACATCATCATCATCGGGACACCGTCATCATCATTGACAACATCATCATCATCAACAACATCACCATCATCGGAACACCATCATCATCGTCACCGTCATCATCATCACCATCATCATTATCAACACTATCAACATCATCGGGACACCATCATCATCAACATCAGCATCATCATCACCATCATTGGACCACCATCATCAAAATCATCACCATCACCTCATCATCATCCTCAACATCAGCATCAGCATCATCATCATCAGCTAGACACCATCCTCGTCATCATCATTACCTTCATCATCGGGACACCATCATCATCACCATCATCATCAACAGGATCATCATCAACCTCATCATCATCATCTGGACACCATCATCATCTTCATCATCATCATCATCAAATCATCTGATCATCATTACCATCATCAACATCACCATCATCCGGGCACCATCATCATCAGCAACGTCATGATCAACAGCATCATCGGGGCACCATCATCATCACCACCATTACCATCATCATCATCATCATCATCATCATCATCATCATCATCAGTTACATCGTCAACATCATCATCATCGGGACACCATCATCACCTCCACCATCATCATCATCATCAACATCATCATCATCGTCAACATCATCAACATCATCATCGGGACACCGACGGGACACCGGCGGGACACCGGCGGGACACCGCGCGCCACCGGCCCCCGAGCGGGACACCGGCGGGACACCGCGGGGCACCGGTTGCCGGAAGGGAGACTTTTGGTCCGGCCGCGCTTCAGCTACAGGAGACTTATTTCTCGCCCGACCACGCAGCTTCGCCTCGCCCGCACGCACGGCACGCACGAACACGAAACCGAAACCGATTTCCCAGTAGGGGGGCTCTCCGTTCCACTTCGATCTCACCCCCTCACCTCCGATATATATATATATATATATATATATATATAGATGTACATACATTCATACATACATACATACATACACACATATGTACATACATACATACATACGCCCACGGAATGTCCCGGCCCCGGGGCACCGGGCAATGCGGAACCAGACTCGGGCACCCCAGTTTTTGTTTGATCTTCTTCAGCCCCAGACGACGCGTCGTAGAAGCTCCCAAAGACCCTGTTACACGATTTTTGAGGAACCATGTCAAATAGCGGCAGGTCCCACGACCCACGACCGACCTTAAGGGAATTCCCAGGTCAACCTGGCAATGCCCAGCGGCAAGTTGCGATGATAGATCCTCGAGCGTTACTAGAACCTAAGCGCGCGAAGCGCGCATGGTTCTAGTCTATACATATATACGTATATGTATATACATGTATACACATATACATATATGTGTGTATATATACATACATGTGTAAATGCATACGCATATGTATATATATATGTATATATATATATAGATCCATGTCAACCCTCCTGCTTCAAATGTTTACATTATGGTTCGTGGGGTACAACACGAATGCCGATTGGGTTGTGTAATGTTTGCTCCGCGCATAGATCATCCGTTTTGGCTGCTTCTTGTCGCGTGCTGGACCGAGCTGTGACCCTGAATCTAGTGAGCATGGCTACGCGGGCGACCCTGAGGTGTTCCGCCAGGACAGTTTTTGCGCGCTACTGCGCATCGCTAGAATTCTGCCAGGGGGCTCGCAAGGCCGCCAAGACCCATAGTATCATCCCTCGTTGCTTTAACTCGCCATGAATCCGCCTCCACTCCAAACAGTTCGGGCTGGACATCGTGCAATCGCAGGCTTCCGGCTCAGGGGGCTATCTAGGTATCATAATTGGTTTGCAGTCTCAGTCACTGTTTCGGCAAGGTCCCACAGCTTCGTTGCGCGCGAAGTGTGCGTATCTCACTCAGCTCGCCTTCGCCTTCAGCCAGAACATTGATGTTCAACTCGTTATGCTCTCCAGTCCTCGGGCACGTCTCCAAGCGCATCCTCCTCCCAAGTGTACGATTCGCGCGGAATTCCAATGCCTTCAGGGCTTGATTCGATTGCCTCTGAATGCTGCGCCGCGCGCTCCTCCGACAGCTGAAGAAGCCCGGATTCGAGATGGAGCCGCGCAACTTCGTTCTCGAATGTAAAGTTGTTGCTTGCAGAGTATACGTGAGGAGCGCAGCTGACCGTCGAGTTGGGTACGAGGTTACTCCTTGTTCGGCAGATGTGGAGGGCAACCATGTGGCCGCGCATAATTACCAGCAGCTCTTCAAGTCCTCTAAAACCAAGTACCTGAATGATGTCTAGACTGAGCTCACGGCCATCCGCTTGGTCCCTCTTGACCCCGCTCCTCACCCCCAGGCCGAGGCGCATCGGGCGCTTATCCTTCGGAGTCCTGGGTCTTCGGTTTCTGGTCTCCTGGCTGTTCGAATGAGAGAGTGGTGATCGGAGTGCCCTGAATGTTCTCGCATTCTTGTGCGATTGAATGTTCTCGCCTTAGTTCCGCTTGCCAAAACCTATTCGAATGCCTGAAATGCGTCTGCCATAAGTCGAAGTGGGCTGTGGTCTCGGAAATGGAGATTCTCTGCAGCACGATGTACCGCGACCACACGCGCAGGGCGAAATGAAGGCTATCTTCCACCTCCTCCTTTCCTCATAATATTATGAGGCTCCTCATGTTTTTTATGTCAGGGGCTCCTGTCTGCTTCTCAAACAAGAGATGTTGATTATTGCGCTAGGGGTTGGCATTCCATATGGCACTATTAATCACACGCGTTGTCACGACAGTTGTACCCATATTACGTTGCGTGCTCTTGCACGCGGCCGCTCCCGCGCCCTGCCAGCAGACTCGGCACAGTCTCGACGCGTTCTGCAAGGGCGCGCAGGGGGGCAGGCCGCCGCCGCTGCTGCCGACGAGACGGATGGATGGCGGAGCGGTGCCTCTCCCCCTTCCCTTTATCCCTTCTGCCTCTCTCTTCTGCTCACGGGTTCCTGAGCCCTCTAGAATCATCGAAGCCGCACGCTGCATTTGACGGAGCACATCCGAGGAGTCTTTGCCAGCGTGAGCAGTGGCAAGAAGGGGGGGAAAGCGGGAGAGAGAGAGAGAGAGAGAGAGAGAGAAGAGCAAGGGATCGGGGAGAGCGCACGGCAGCTCACGAGCGAAGGCGGGCGCGGCCCAGCCTCACACGTGCGAGTGGGAAGTTGCGGGGGGCGGCTGGGACCGGGCGTAAGCACTGCGCCAGAAGTCGGGAGCCTCGAGACGGGGGTCAGTGCAAACGGGGGTCAGCCAGGGCGCCGGATCCTGCAGGATCCTGCGAAGGCCCCCTCTGGCTGACCCGGGTCAGGGAGCCGCTCGTGGCCGCGAGGCGGCCGCGCGTATTGGCTGACCCGGGTTTGCGAGGATCTGCGTTGCAGTTTTTTTTGTCCTGCATTGCAGTTTTTGGTTTCCTGCTGACCCGGGTCTGGATTGACCCGGGTCAGAAGGTCCCCGAAGAAGGTGCATGACTGAGTTGTTGGGCTGCGATCGTGGCAGGGAGTGTCGTCGCCCTCTGTGGTGAACCGCGCAGGGTGTGCGCGAGGTCTGTAGTTGGGCCCTCGTCCGATTGCGTATAGCCCACTCATCAAAGCGAGGGGTCGGAACTGTCATTCGTTTCCCAGGGCGCGTGGATGAACTGGGATTCTGTGGCCAGGATCAGCGTTGACTGTCGCCGTTCGGGGGTGTCATCGTCCTCGCCCGCGACCCCCCCGCGACACCCGCGACCCGCCCGCGACCCAGCCGCGACCCACCCCGCGACCCACCAGGCGACCCACTTGCGACCCACCGGCGACCCACCCCGCGCGCGCCCTCTCATTCTTATCCGCAAGTGCCGGGTGTTACGTAGATTTCACATGCTTCTCCTCTTCCGCCTTGGGTTCCTCGTCCTCCTCCTCCTCCTCCTCCTCCTTCACTTCTTCTGTTCCCGCCCTCCCCACGCGAGGAGGCCGCGCGCAAGGTCAAGAGGCGGAAGCAGCCGCAAGATGAAGCGTGGGCAGAG